CACCGCTCAGGGAGTCGGCAGGCAGCCGGGAGAAACAGGCGGCGCCCCCCACCCACCCACCCCACCCCCCGCACACACCCATGTGCAGGCACAGGAATATGTATATGTGTTGATGTGTGGTTCTCAAATTAAAGGAAGAATACTAGTTTGTGTGGTTCAAACTGTAACTGAGACTGACCTGAGGGAGGAGTCCAGACTGTATGGACACCCAGTGTGTGGGTTGGGGTAGGGTGAAGAGGCCCTTTAAAGTGGGAAGTAAGGAGGAGGGGTGCCGCTTCTGCTGCACAGTCCCCCAGTGTGATGCATCTACCTTCAGGGTGGCAGCAGGCGTGGAGTGGGGTGCAACGGAGCGAGCACGGGCTCAGTGGCGCGGTCACCTGGGGACGCTGAAGCTGTTGTAGCAGGACTGATAGTTCTTCCTTGGGAGGACAGAAAGATGAGCCCCATTGTATTAGCAAAGTCCTTCTCGTATAAAGTTCTCAAGCCTTCAGCATCATACTCAGAGATGTTTTGGAATCATTTGTCCCTCTCGTCTCGTGAAAGAAACACAAATCATCCCTCCATCCATTTTCCGATCCGCTTATCCTCACAACGGTGGCAGGGGGTGCTGGAGCCCATCCCAGCCATCTCCGGGCAGTAGGCGGGGGATACCCTGAACCCGTTGCCAGCCAATCGCAGGGCACACAGAGATGAACAAGCATCCGCGCTCACACTGACACCTAGGGACAATTTTGAGTGTTCAATCAGCCTGCCATGCATGTTTTTGGAGTGTGGGAGGAAACCGGAGTACCCGGAGAAAACCCACGCAGTTCCGGGGAGAACATGCAAACTCCACACAGGGAGGCCGGACCTGGAATTGAACCTCTGCACTGTGAGGTTGACGCGCTAACCACTGGTTCACCGGGCCGCCGAAACGGAAACCAAATTGCCAAATTATCCCTGTGACTGTCGGTGTACCTTAGGATGCGGCCAATCAATATTTAGAACAGGGTACGCATGTCCAGTTTTAACTTGTATCTTAACTGACGTATTTGACATAACCAACATAATGCACCGACCGTATTTCTATCGAAGAGTCTTCTCAAAACCAGATTTCTGCTGCAATCCCGGCACCAAACTGCAAGAGTCAGCATGGTGCCACAAGGTCTCAAGACTTCCTGTAAATACAAAGATGAAGAAAGAGAAGAAGCTACTCGGCGTGCTGTTCAGACAGAAGGGGGGAAAGAAATGCTCAAATTTGGTCCGATTTTTGGTATAAGTCAACGCTGCTTCATAAAAGACGGCCAGTGGTGTTTATTGAGGCGCCTATTACAAGGTAGGCGTTTTTGGAATAATATTAAAAACTGTGGTGCATCATGGCAGACGGTCTTCCAAAAAAATAAACACGAACATTCTTACAGCATGATCACTTTGCAGTCGACAGGGCAGCTAATCAGCATTGAAGCCGCGTCTCCATGTGACAAAATAGTGCAGTAAAACTCCACACTTGAGACAGTTAAAAATGCTCCACTGCTGCTGTTTTGGTTAGCAGCGGCTTAGCAGTTCAGTAACTCGACAATGCGTATCTGAACTACAAGAAGTCAGCTGAGATAGCCCACCTGTGACAAAGCAGGACAAGCACGAGAAGAAACGGAGGGTTGGATTTGAACACACAACATACTGCACATGGTTTGCAGCAATATTGTGTGGCAAACACGGTGTTCACTTCAGTACATTCCTTTGGCAAGGGAAAGCCGAACAAATTATTCCAAAGCTTTTCGTTTCTGAAGCGTACATTTGCATCGCAACTACCGCAGTCCTATCTTTTGGAAAACTCGCCGTCTAACATGGTCAGTTTTCGCAATTATTCAGTCCACTGACAAGTTAAACAAATGGGACCAACCCAGTGCATCCCGCATTATCTCCACTCCTTGGATTCGCTGACAATAATTAATACAATGGCAAGTTTCCGTTTCTGGGCACAACATCAGCTTTCCTCTTACTGAGAGCTGCTGAAGGAGAAGAAATTACACCCAGAGGCGATGTTATACCCACAGTGGCCCCTCGCACGCAGGGTCACATGGCCTTGAATCCGGCAGGTCCACATCGGGTCAAGGAAGGTCACGTGACCTGAGCTCGCCGAGTGGGCACCGCCTCACACTACTTCGTCACATTATCATCTGAAGCACGTCTACATTATGTCTAATAATTGCACATACACACACTCGCTGGACACTTCATTAGATACTCACACAATCGTATAAGAGCCAATACAAGAGCTGTCAGCGAGGTATGTGTTTATTATTGCACTGCATCTCGGAGAGAGCTGCTTGTAGTATTTTGGGTACCTACGCGACCGAGTGCAAAAATTCGACATAGCTCTCGGTGTGATGTGATGTGACCATAGAAAATAATGGGAAGTAAATTCATGAGTCTGAGGTTCAAATTTTGGCCAGGCAAAGTACAGGCAATGTTTTAAGCAACAAATACAGATTTTTAAATCAAGCCGAGGACCAGTTTGAAACGTTTTCACGTGCGTAACCCACAAGAGCATGAGCCAGAGGCTTGCTAGCTGCAGGAGGACAGCCGAGGAGAATGCAATCGGGTGAATGGAGAGTGACGCGAGTGATGCTTGTCGTCATAAAAGAAACCAGGATTGACGCCATCCAAATGGTTCACTGTATTAAATGTTAATGTTATTAATGATAGTGCATTAATCGTTTTGAGATGATTCTCTTGATTGATAATCCCAAGGAAGGATTTTAAGGACTTTATGTCACTCAGGAAATAGAATTTTCTCAAATTCACACTTTTGATTAATGCTAAAAATTAATATTATAGAACTTTTTGAATTATTCAGATGTGGAGGACCGCATGAATGTCTTGGGCCCCCAAATGCCCAAATATGCCACTACATACAGGTGCATCGAATGTCGAAAAGTTCATTTACAGCAGTAGTCCATTTCAAAAAGCTAAACTCAGATACTCATCTAATTGAGATGACATCAGCATTCATTTAACGCACGAAGATACTTTCAGGAAGCCAACCCCTGCCTAATTTCGACATTAAAAATCATTATTGATTAAATTTCTCGAGGTGGTGAATGTTGGGGTTACGTCGGTGTAAGCTACTCTCTAGTCATCCAAAGGGGAAATAGGAAAACCACAAAATATTCCGGTGGCCTGGTGGTCCAGTGGTTAGCGCATCGACCTCACAGTGCAGAGGTTCAATTCTCGGTGTGGAGGTTGCATGTTGTCCCAGGGCTTGCGTGGGTTTTCTCCGGGTACTCCGGTTTCCTCCCACATTCCAAAAACATGCATGGCAGGCTGATTGAACACTCTAAAATTTAGAGTCTAAATTGTCCCTAGGTGTGAGTGTGAGAGTGGATGGTTGCTTGTCTGTATGTGCCCTGCGATTGGTTGGGTGTCCCCCGCCTACTGCCCGAAGACGTCTGGGATAGGCTCCAGCACCCGCCACGATCCTTGTGAGGATAAGCGGATCAGAAAATAGATGGATGAGTAGACAAAATATTCCACACTATGTGCAGTAATTCCAAATACGAATTTCGCTAGCTTGAATTTAACTACCATTGAATTTAACTACCATCGAATTGATGTTAAGTAAGATTTCAAATTTATTTAGGATGCACTTGTACATTATTTATTGTCTAACTATAATACATGTATATTATAATAATACAAATCAGATTTTCTTTCTGTCTTTTTTAGAGGGAGGGGGGTGAGGGGGGTGGGGGTGCATGAAGGGACCAATACGTCCCTGGAGAGAATTGCCGCCGCCTTCCTATTTCGGCCGACAAATGTATTACAGGTTTTTTTAATTATAGAGGAGCACATTCCCCCAGCATCCATTAAAGGAATGCCATGCTAATTTTAAAACCTCACAGCAGGCACTGGCGTCGACGGCAAGAAAAGTGGATGAGTTTCTCTTTAACAGCTGTAATTTGTGTTTTCCAATCACCATGCTGATTTCTGCTCATTATGCTCCGGTTTCACACCGGTAAGTGAGCAAAGTTTGGATTGATTGACTCTAATTAACTAAGAAATGTTCCGAGCCACGGATTTATTATCATGCTAGCTAGCCACAAATGTCAGAGACTTTCACAAATTATGGTGCTAAGATAAATATCTGGGAAAATCAGACGAGTGTGAAAGCAGAAGGAACATGTATTGTTATCCTGATGAATTGGTTTGGCATGTTTTCTGCACGTTCAAGAATCACTTGAGAGACTACACGATTTAAAGCATTGACAGATCATTTACTTCGCTCAACTTCACAGAATTACAGTATCTAGGATTAGTACTGTATCAGTTTGGTGTATAGGTTGCTTAAGGTACATGATGAGGAATAATGCTTACATGTTTTGTTAGTGAGTGAGAAGAAACATTTACAAAACTACAACAACAAAACTCTGTTTCCGGCGATAGCTGGACTTCTTTGGTCTTCCTGAAATCATTAAGGTGAAGGGATCACCTTATTGGTGGCATCCACATGCCTTTATAATTCTTTGAAAACGGGTGTATTCTGATAGCGCTACATGTTGCTTTGAAAATATGTCAGTGCAAAGCCTTCACTGGCTGGAACATATCCACCAGGCCGTCGCAGTGCGGTCGTGATCACCACCGGCAAACAGGCTGCTGGGGGGCTTCCATCGATCGGCGGCGGTCTCATCCACGGCATTACTTTCCTGCTTGGGAATTCAAATAACGACATTGAGTTTGTTTTGAAAATTGTGGCAGCAAGGGAAGATGCATTTCGGGGGCGTAGCTAGCTAACTGTATGCCGTCGTAGTAGAAATGGGTCGCATAATAACTAACAATTGCGCCGGAGAGTCATTGATGCGTAGCCATCATGAATGATGTAAAATAGTTCAATACTAACGTGTTTCCTCAGTTTTCATGGGTGATACAGTCCAAGTTACTATATTTTTTGCGATGTGGGGGAATTTGCACCGCTATTAAGCCATTATGAACCAACCCACATGGTTCTCACGCTTTAGAACACTTGGTACGGTGAATAAATATGTCTTTCAAAATGCAAAATTAAGAATAAGTCCCTGTTGTGGAAACTATCATCTTGTTGCCATGACTACCGTGCTTCTACTTCCGTACTTCCGGGCGAAAGTTCCTCTTCGTCTTCCATTTAGAAGGAGAAGGAGACCGGTCGTCATAGCAACGAAAGTTTGCTTTCAAGATCAAAGATTTACAGGATCAAAAGGCGCGATAACTCACCAGGATTGTACAGTTGCCTACATTGCTTGACGGGTTTCTGATTAAGGTAAGCCATTTTAAACTAAAAAGAAAAACTTCAACATAAAGTATAGATATTAAGCGGACATTTTGTCATGCTCGTGTGTTGCCGACAATTTCTGAACGCAGGCTATAATCAGTAGCTCGTCTTCAAAAGTTTCCTTTTCCTGTACTGTTTGACGCACTGGGCTCTGGTACAGTAATAGGGGACTATCGATATATTTCTAAATCGAGCTTTTTCAAGTAACCCCAAAATGTGCCATCTACAAACTGTGACTTTTGAATTCAAATCTGACTCAATTTCCTCGGTTGACTACAGGTAAAAACAACTGCATTAAAATACACATTTTAGAGTGATGAAAATCTCTCTTAAGGTTGACTGATTGCTTAATTGTGATGCCCAAAACAGACATTTTGTACACATCCTACTAAATTCAAGTCAGCCATGATGCATGAAGTCATGTATATTTGTCTCACCACTGGTGTGCCGCAAAACTTGGTCAGCATCTCTCTCATTGATATTTTAGACACAGTAGCACATTCTCTTTCTCCACTCACATTCTTTCCCAGTTCTCCGTCGCCTCGGGAGCTCAACTGTGCTCTCTGGCTCGGGAACAAAAGGCGGCCTGGTCAGAGAGGACACCTCCATTTCCCTGTTTTCAAAAAGACCTCAAAGCAGGGAGTTTTCGTTAGCCTGAGAGCCACGCTCCGATTCGCACGGCTTGCTGCTGATGACTAAAAGCGATCGCTGGGGTGAATCCGCGCGAAACGGGCCCGTCGTCTGCATGGTGGCGCCACGCTGAAATGCTGCCTGTAAATCAGATTTTTAGAAAGACTGCCGCTATAGAAACCGAGAGCAACACTTTGATATATCACAGAATACAGACCCACGGTCAGATTTTTGCATCCTTGTCAGGACAAACCACGAAGCACAAATACAGTACATATGAGTGTCCACATTAGTGTTTTAGCTGCACTTTGGTGTTTGCACTTTCCAGTGGTGACAGAGTGGTAGCTTCAAATTATTCAGGGGTGATACAAAGATTGTAAACACATGTAGAGGCAAAGAAAATAACTTTGCAGAGTGCTCCCCTGTATTTCTGTAAATAGTGGTTACTGACTAAACTGCACATGGTGGGGAGGTATAATATGTCAGGTATGTTGCGGCAAACAAAAAAAAGGAATGTTGCGGCAAACAAAAAAAAGGACCATTATGGAAATAAAGTCAAACCTCAGTTTTTGAACGTCTCTGTTTTCGACCAAATCGTATTTCGACCAGAAAATTCGAGATTTTTACACCTCGGATTACGACCGAAAACCGGTTTTTGACCAAACTGAGCAAACCCGAATACGCCACTCGACTTCTCTCAACTTCCTTACACGAGGAGGTTTCCTCGTGTAACGTTCATTGTGAGCACACATGTTTGTTGTGATTTACGCAAATCTGACTGGGTTTTTTTTTTTTTTTTTTTGTGTGTTATTTCTGCATAGTGTATTAGCCCCTAATCATGGGCTATTAAAATAGTTTCGTATTTCGAACAAATCACTTTTTGAACAGCCTTCAGAAACGGATTATGGTCGAAAACCAAGGTATGACTGTAGTAGAGAAACATTAAGAATTGAGGCAAACTGGACTGAAAAAAATACGTTGTAGAGTTACTGCGGAAAATAAAAATGTTCAAGAGGTATAACAGAGCTTGGTGGAAACGTGACCAGAACTACACAAGTGGAAAAGCGTTGTCATCATTGTGTTTGACCAGGCTCAACTGTGGTTATATTAACATATCTACCTGTGACTGAAAAGCAAAGTGTGGGGAATCTCTGTCGGCGAAATGAAACGGCATGATCATTGCCAACAATCTCTTAAAAATCCACAGTTTCTCCTTTATTTCTCACCTGCCTTCCTCTCTCATAATACAGCAACAGTAGCCAGGGCAGGACAGTATATGTGGAGTCTCAAAACGGTCGTTCCTGGTAAGAACACCAGAGGTCGCGGTTTTTGCCGCGCATTGGGACGTGTGCAAAGATTAATCGCCAGATGTGTGCAGGTCAGGATTGCTGACTGCGATTATCCAGTTCGGTTGCGTTTGGCTTAGTCTGCGGCGGGCCGAAGGTTCCACATTTCAGTTTGTCTGAGAGACTGTTTACCTGCCTGCGTAGGTGCTGCGGTTTTGGTTAGCAACAAAATTGAAATGGCCTTTAGAAGTCAAATAATTGTCTATATGTGACTACAAGATCTACCTATGCTCTTTCCCAAATGGCAGGGGAGGTGCTCCCTTTAGGGGAGGCATTTATATATCTTAAGTGGATTTCGCGGCTTGTGACTAATTAATGAGTCCCCCTTATTTAAGGAAACGCTGTAAATGTCATTTGTTGATCCGTTCGGAGACAGCGTGAATGTTAATGGTTGGCTGTCTCCGGATGTGCCTGGTGACTGACTGGCAATGAGTCCAGGAAGTAGTCCTCCTTTCGTCAGAAGTCAGCGATGAAGAGGATAAGCACTCTCGGAAATGGATGGATCATTTGTCATCGTAGTGTCGTAACGATTTTTAAAGGTCAATGTTTGGGATTCTGTGTTCCATTCCCATCTAAGTTAAAGTTTGTGAAGACTTCAAGTGCGAAGAGACAACATAAACCTCATTTCAAACTAAATTTTTCCCAATGACGACAATGACCTTTTTTTTTTTTGACAGTGAAATGTTTTCAGCTACCAGACAGCGCTGCCAATGGGTGTGAGGTTGTCGCGTCCACACTGCCCCCTTCTGTTGCCACAAGTAAACCCTTCCGCTCACACTCACAGCACAAAAGCAACAACGGTATCTCTATTAGGTTACCACAGGCAGACACAATAGGAGTGAGTGCCAGGGATTTTTAAGCGATCCCGAGAGTAGCGAACTTCCAACAAATGCCCAGAAAAATTTGGGATTCATGCATCATTTTCATTATTTATCATTCCTATTTTGATGGCTGTAAATATTTAATGGATTGAATTGCTATTTGGCATGTATTATTTATTCAGGAACATCGAACTTTAAAATGGAGAATGCATCACCGGCATGATGACAAAAAAATATATGTATCCATATTGATTTTTGAATTGCATTCAGTTAATATTTCAATTTGAAATAACGTTTCCCCAGGGCTTTTTTCTCTTCCTCCCAGAGTGCGGAAGCAACATCCTTTTGTGCATACTATTTACCCCCGGATTGCTTGGGGCTAATGTCTCAATAATTTTCACTTCTTTCTCAGGTCCTTCCCACAAAGGACTTAACTAATGATCCGTGGACAAAATGAAGCATTCAAATTTATTCATTAATCATTCATCTCCAGCTCATTGAAAATGCAAAACTTCCACAAAATTAAGATTGAATATTGAAAAGTGATTGAGGAAACAAGCGACGGAGAGCCCGGACAGTTCTATGGAGAACCAAAATCGCAATTTTTGGTTCACGCACACGTGGATCCTCACGCGGTGGTCAAGGTGTGCTAGGTGCTGGTTAAGGTCACCGGCTTTCACTAGTTGTAATTAGATCTCGGAATCTGGAGAAGCGTAGAATTTCTGTCAACACGGCCTGTAATTATTCTCTTTTCCAATTAATGGTGACATAGATTAATTATCTGATGAGGCAAAGCCAATTGCAATCATTCACCCAGCTAAAATTAGATCAGTCTTGACAGCAGCATGAAAGTCACCTGTTTCATTGTTATGGATCTGCAGCGAGTAAAAGAGGAGCGGGAAGGGTTAGGGTTAGGGTTAGGGTTAGGGTTAGGGTTAGGGTTAGGGTTAGGGTTAGGGT